TATATATATATATATATATATTATAAACAAAAAATACTAAGAGTTAATCTCAGGTCAGTTTGAGTCGATTCATGTATGTATGACTCAAAATCAGCTAACAATTCGATTCAAAATTTTGGCTCATAGCTCCACATTTATTTCTATTTAATTTCAATCCGAGCAAAATTTGAATCGATTTTCGAGCGAATAATGATCTTCCAGCAAAATTATCGTTCAAGCTAAATTGACTAGAAGTTCTGATAAGGATGTCAAGCCCCATGAAACAGTGGGGAAAGTTATTGATGGCCAACGAAATCATAATACCCCTTATTCGATTTTATTATCAACTAATTTTAGTAACTACTCCATTTTCCGCTCAATTAAATTAAAGGATAAAAAAACATTTAATTTTATTTAGTGAAATTCACCAATTATCATGTATTTACATATCTAACACGTAAATTTTATATTTACGGTTGTAAGACATACATATTTCACTTTTAAGAGAGTACTGATAGTCATATTTTTATATGATTTTAAAGATTTAAGTAATATGTATGTAAATATGAAAGTTTAGGTGTTGTTAGTAGGAAAATACAAGAAAATTGTGTGGTATTTATTGCTAATGCTTTATTCTATATTTATTAGTCACACATTTACCCTCATGATTTCCCCAATTTTGTTATCCTTAACATTTTTTAATTCAATTGAATCAGGCTAAGTAAATACTATTTACATAATTAATTAATAAAAGTATATTCTTGGACATTTCGATATAAGTCATACTTTTCTTCTTTTGCGTACAAAGAGCACATTCCACATATTTCTCTTCTTCTCACCACTAATCTTAATTAACCTTTAATCATGTATTAATTTGTCCTCAATCTTAATAATTCACAAAGCATGAAACTAATTTCTATATCATCAAAAATCAAAACACAGTTTCAGTCGAATTTCATGGAAGGACAATCTAAAAACTCCACTAATAAATCACTCAGATACAGAATCATAATGAAAATACATCCAAAGTGTATGTATATATATATATATATATATATATATCCCTACAATGAAGATAAGGAATGGATAAATTGTCCCCATGTAGAAGGAGAGCTAATTGAGTTGGAGGTATTGTCCCTACAGCAAGATCCACTCCACTCTCAGAAGCAGGTCTCCAGCACGCAGCAGCAACACAGAGCAGCACAACTACAGTTACAGAAGAAAAAGACAGGCTTAAAAGTCAGAATAGGTTCGTGGGTAGTTTTCAATCATTATAGCAGAGTTGGAAGTGCTATTAATGGCAAAGGAGATCTGAATATACAGGCTTACCATCCTTTCCAGAAGCCATCATCTTCGCCACGATTCTTGGTGTTGGCTGGAGCCTGCTGAGGGTAAGCAGCAGTGTCGGCTGTAGGGTACCCTACCGGAGGAGGTGCAGAATAGGGCATCTGTCCTTGTGGAGGGTATGATGTTGGTGGCGCGGGGTAGGCTGCATAATTCCCAAGTTTTAGTAGGAAGCAAAAGAGAACAGTCATCTTATAATTACAGGTATATATATATATATATATATATATATTAAGGGAAGACAATAATTGAATCAAACGAACTAGCTACCTTGAGGATTAGGCTGCGCATAAGAAGCCATGTTTGCTGAATGAAGAGAAAGAAGAGAAGATTGGGAGAATGTGATATTGGAGCTGAATACAGGGCTATTGTTTGCTGTAGTATTTATAGCGCTCTGGTGGAGGTTTTACATGGTTGAACGCCTCTTCTTCTCTTGCCGTCGGGTTGAAGGCTACAAAGTCTAAATCCACGCGTTGTCTATTGGTTGACATCAGGAAGACTGAAAGGTCAAAAATGGAGGCCAGAGTGTCTTTCCGGACGCCTTCGGAGACTATTTCTTTATTTCAATTGCAAAGTTGGAGTTTCATTACTCATTCAAATACCAAGTAACGAAATATCACAATACAAATCAGACTTGACTTGAAAAATTATTGAGATATTTTCATTAAATTGTATGGCATCATTTCTTTTATTTTATTTTTTTATAAGAAAACAGCTTTTTAAATAAGAAATTATCTTACAAAATAGGAACATATACTTGCATTTTTTTTAATGTTTTATTATACTCTCATCATAATTTGTTTGGGATATCATTGCATGAGAATCACTCATGACATGATATTTTTATTAAATTGTTCATAGTATAGTTCAAATCTTGTATGCACATATATAATCATGAAAATGGATTTAAATTAGAGAAGAATGATGTAGATACAATAAAAAGAATTCTTGAAGAAAAAGGAAAATCAATGAATTAATGAATGCATATTCTTTATTAATTTATTCCTCTCAAAAATCTCTATTATCAATTTTATATCAAAACGCTCCGACGTCATGTCATCTACATAAGGAAATTTATGCATGCAAGGGTTATAAAATGAATTAGAAAAGTTACTTTGAGCTATGTTAGAACAAAGTTTGAATCTCTTCTGAATAATATCGAATAATATCGTTCGAATCATATTCAAAATATTGTTGAATCATGTTCAATGTGGCTCAAATAATGTTCAACTGAATAATATCGAATAATATCGTTCGAATCATATTCAAAGTATTTTTGAATCATGTTCAATGTGGCTCAAATAATGTTCAAACATGACTAATTTTTGTAACATAGGATTATTCCTTCCTTCAAATCATACCTAGGGCTCCCAACATTAGAAAGGGCTCAATGGCTATACATTTAGACATAAATAACAAAAAATTGTAAACACCAATCCTTTGTTTAGTAAACCATGCAATCACCTAATATAGACTTAATGCTTTATTGCCAGTTTAACATTCTATTGTCAAACACATAGTGTACTTAACATGAAAGATTAACTTTTGAGTTTGTAACAAGTTGGATTGCTTTTATTTAATATATTTAAATGTTATCAATTCATGCAGCACGTAGTATATATGTTAGTGACCGGTTTAATCCAAAAGATTCAAGTATGAGAGTTCTAATTGAATCATATTCTAGCAAGATTTGATCAATATTCAAATCATTTTGTAGATATTTAAAACTTGTTCAAAAAAGATTTAAATATACTTCGAACAAGCAATAACACTTCAAATTATAATATGCAAAAGTGAAATTAGAACAACTAGAACACAATAAAACATAACTTTGATACAATAGAGTGTGATTAAAACAATTTTAAACATAATTGATTATAACTTTGATATAAGAGACTATAATTACAAAGGCTATAGCATAACAAATTTTAACTTTGAGATGATAGAATATTACTACAATAGCTAAAATACAACACAATTGAACTTATTCACATGTGTGGGTGAGTGTTTTAGCACTTAATGTTGTTCTAGTAAAATTTCTTTATTCAACAAGGTACTTAGGATACTTATTTATATCACTATAAAGCATACAAATCAAAGCTCATTTTTGCTGCTATACAGAGCCCAAATCTATATATATATGGATATATTTTCTTCATTAAAAAGCTTGATTTTATCCATAATAACAAGAAGATCAAAAGCATTAAATCTTCATACAATTTTATCTATCACAATTCTATACATATGAATGGAGTGAATATTTACACACACAATATATATTAATATACTATGGAATGATGGTGAGCTCTACATCATCGTAAACAGATTGTAATTTAAAAGCTTATATATATCTTGATAGACGAATTTCAATTCAAAAGTAATTTTCATGCATACTTCCAAAAAAATTTAGCGGTATTTACACACAATTCTTATGTATTTACATATCTAACTCCTAAATTTTATTCATATGTATAACACTTAAATGCTTAATATTGCATCAATAGCACAATTGTTTCTAACATTTTAGAAGTAACCTCCATGCATGGGCTTAAGATACCAAAGTGTGATAAATATAAATATAAAAAATTAGGTCTTAAATATAAGAAAAGCCTAAGAAGCTATAAATTGTTTTAAAACCACCAAATGAATGATTTTGCTTAAAGATTGTTCAAATATATTTAATTTTAGGGTAATTTACAAACATACCAAACAATTCTTATATATTTATATATCTAACACTTAAAAATTTCATATTGTATATAACAATTAAATTTTAAACATCACATAATAATTTTTTAAAATTAAAATAGGCACAAAATGTTATAAATATAAATATCAAACATTATGTAAAATATTTAAATGCATAAAAATTGTGTGGATGCAGCCTTGAATGTTCGCTATAGAATATCTCTTAGCCCCCAATTACATTCAGAAGGAACCTTTGGATAAAAGTATATATGTGAAGTTTAGATGTTAGATATGTAAATACATAAAAATTGAGTGGTATGTATGTAAATATTTCTTATCTTTTCCAGAAAGGACATGAGAAATATATATATATATATAATATATATAATTAAAAGAGAACAGAGTGATCACTATGCAGGTATGAGAAATTATAGCATTAATTTCAAAAAGGCACTTCTCTGGTAAACAAACAGATCAAATAATAATTTTCAAGAGAAGTGTTTATGCAAGGCCTCTAAAGGAGTTGGTAGATAGTTTTCTCTCTAATTCAAACACATTTTGACTCCTAATTTTCAACTGATTTACCACTAAAGTGGAGACAACGTTGTAAAGAGCTGATCATGGAACAATCTTTGCTGCTTAAACCAGATCTTCTTTGTCTCAAAACTCCATTACTTGGATTTCTTACCTTGCTTCTTCTTTACAACTTCATCAATGTACATTATGCCCTTACCTTTGTAGACTTCAGGTGGCTTACAGCTACGAACAGTGGCAGCAAACTGGTGCACCCGTTGCTTGTCTATCCCGGTGCAGCAAATTATGTTCGGCTTGAAACAGAAGGCGCGAACGGCCGGTGGGACATCCAGCTCCACCTCATGGCTGTAACCAAGTCTCAGGAACAGTTGCCGACCCTCTGATTCTGTTCTGGCTTTGAACCCAACGCCAACAATTTTAAGAAAACGAAAGAATTTGGCCTCCACTGACATCTCAGAGTATGAATGGCCTGTCGAACAGATTAAATCATCTGATAAAACTAAGAAGATGCGCCATGAACAACCTCAAGAAGAGATTTTTTTTTTTTTCAGTCTCATAAACAGCCACAAAATGAGATTATTTTAATAGTATGTTATGTCTCATGTGCCTGAACAATTACCAACCAAACATAAAAGCAGAAGATTTTCTAAACTTATCATGACTAATTCAGTTTAACTATCTGACGTGGGGCTCATGGGGTACTGGCTGGGCACAGCTCTAGCCTAGCTGGCACGCCGGTCCTCTTGGAGGGGGTCCCACCGCCCTCTCCTTCCTCCTCTTTCTATTCCTTTCTTCTCCCTTCCTTCTTTCATTTCTTCCTCTTGCTATTTTCCTTTCTAGGTCTTTTCCTAATTTAAATCCTTTCCTAAAAACGTAAATCCTGATTTTATTCCCCTTCTTTCATTTAAACCTTTCCTAAAATCTGAGATCTTGATTCAATTTTTATTCTTTTTTCTTAGTTTAAATGTTTCCTAAATTGGGTCAAGTCTTTTATAAATAGGAGTTGATGTGTCTATAGTTAGGGGTCTTTTCTTTTATATATGAAATCAGGTTTTTAGCCTTGGTATTTTCCCCTTAAAAAGTTCTATCTGACATCGGGGAGTGCTCTCCATGGATCCGGGTGGTACTCCAGATGTAGCTTAACCCCGACGAGATATTTATCCATCCTTCCACCCCTTCTGCTTTAGTCCACCCACTTCCCAGCTCTACAACAAGCCACCACACCTCTTCCCCAACAACCTCCGGCTGCTGTCCTCCCTCCAACCTGCTGCCAACTTTCCTTCAGCAAGGCCGTAGCTCCCCATACTCCATCCCAACACTCAACCGCCCTTCCTGAACAACTCAATCTTGCAGCCCACCTACCCAAAATTCCTCCTAGCAGTCTACCTTGCTGTCCAGGCCTTTCCCATAGCTGCCAACGCTCCCCCCTCAGTGTCCACCCTTCGAAAGTGCTGACGAGCCTTCCCCGCTGCTGCCCCACCTTCCCTGCTTGCTACCCCACTTTCCAACCGACCTTCCAGCCCCTCAACAAACCTTCCCGCCACCTTAAACTACTGCCTCCATCCTCCAGTTCACCTTACAACCCCGACCGACCCCTCTCTCACATTAACACTTGTTGTCCCAAGCCTCCAAATCCACTTGGCCAACCTTCACCACCCTTGGGATAGATACACTTTCAAGGTGTTGGCTTGTGTCTTTATGTTTGTTTGTATTTATTTAATATTTTGGAGAGTAGTTATAACCGATTTCAAATTCAGTAATAAAATTTCTGTTTCTTTTGTGATTTGGACTTTCTCTTCCGGTACCACTGTTAGTCTATAAACAAGAAATATAAGAAAATTTTACATTAATACCAAGCATATTGTATAAAGTTCTTTAAGATTTGTCAACAAAATGTACGTTTCAATGAAAAAATACATAACTAAGTAATCCATGTAATCAAATAATCTTTTGAAAAATAACTAAGCAATGTGTGATGCATCAACAATTCCAAAAATGAGAGAATAAGATAAGAAGTGAATTATTGTAAAGAATTTATATGTCATAACTAAAACAAAATTGCGTACAAGGGAAATTTTAAGTAAACCGAAAATAAAATCCATGCTTAAATCAATTCACTAAGGGCTTATTTGGGATCAATTTTATTTTTGTCTTTTTTTTGTTTGTTTAATGTATTTTTAACATATTTTTCTTTTTTATTTCTAAAAATAAATAAAAAGGTTTTTGAAAACACTTGAAATAACTTTGAAGTGTTTTGAGTGTTTTCCAAAACAACCATATCTTAATCAAACATACAAAATTTATTTTGCTTCAAATCAAAATATAAACAAAAAACACAAAATAAAAAATAAGAGTGATCCCAAACGGCTCCAAAGCAAAAGGAATGATAATGGAGTCTAAATATTAAATGTTTGTTTTAAAACCATATTTAAATAACAACAGTGACATTGAGAAATCACATGACGAGTATCATTGTGATGATATTTTAGCAAAGGCCAAAAGAAATATGATGCGACTGAAGTGGTCGTTCCAACACCATGTAATTCTCATATGAAAAAGTCATGAAGTGAAATGCAAGGAATAGATAACGAAGAATTCTTATAAATATCCGTTACTGACTAAAAATTCAAATATAGTGTTTAGTGCAGTATCTTTAGTAGATTGAAATTTAAAAAGAAAATTAAGATAACTCATTAATCCTCCAAATTCAAGTTCTGAACACAAGAATCAACAGAGAGTGCATATGATTGAAAGCATCAACTGCTTAGTTTTAAGCACCCATCTAATATATATCAACAGAAGTAAACTCCTGAGACTATGCAACATATTTACCATGCTTAAATTTTTCTTTCCATTGGAATTGCAAATATTTCAAGGGAATCATCTCTAAGTCCAAGCTTAATTTGTTGATGTAATTTGAAGATTAATATTCGAAACATATTTGGATCTAATAACTTAATCTAACATACCATCCATCTTATCAATGATTCTGTAGTCAATAGGGTAAGAAGGATTTCTCGAATAAGGTCATTCTGCATTACACAATTTAGGAGTTTTTACTCATCATACTAATTATAATGCAAGCAACAACAACAACAACAACAACAACAAAGCCTTAATCCCACTACGTGGGGTCGGTTACATGAATCCTTTTTCTCCATTGCGTCCTATTTAGTGTCATATTTTCATTTAGTTCTAGTAAATTAAGATCATTTTTGATACAATAAGCCCAAGTCTTCCTAGGTCTACCTCTGCCTTTCTTAACACAAGTCGAATTTAAAACATCTACTCTCCTAATCGAATCATCTAATGGTCGACGTTTAATATGACCAAACCATCTAAGACGACTTTCTCTAATTTTGTCTGTCACAGGAGCTACAACAACCCTATCACGAATATATTCATTCCGCATTTTGTCTCTAAGTGTAAAGCCACTCATCCACCTAATCATTCTCATCTCGGCAACACTTAACTTATTATTATGCTTCTCTTTTAAAGGCCAACATTCAGCGCCATAGAGCATTGCAGGTCTCACCACCATCTTATAAAATTTTCCTTTCAGTCTTAGCGGTACTTTTCTATCACACAAAAGTAATGGAACAATGTATATATAAATTGTTTTCATAGGACAAAACTAATGGAACAATGTATATACTCAATATTAAAAAAAAAACAATATATTTACAAATTGCTTGCTATCATAGATTCCCAAAGGGCTAATAATAATGGAACGGTTGGCTTAATTGGTAAATTATTTTTAATTAGCCCACACATTTAAATTTAAAGCTAGGGGTAGCAGATGATTTTTCAATATGCGTAGATAATTTTAATCAATACCCTTAAATTTGAATGTGTAAATAATGGATCTACCATAATGAATATAATCTATATAAAAGCAGCCTAACAAAGAACTAGCAACATTCATAGGTAATACATCGCATTTGATCATATCAGTATAACTATCCAACGAAATAGAAATAATAAGATTTTTAATGAAAGGTAGAGATGCCTAACTGACTAGCAACACTGAAGTCTAAGATTCGATAAAGCCTTGAGATTGCCTATAGTCACTGATGTATGAACTTTTATTGTGATATCATAAATCATCTTAGACTGGTAATCCTAGAAACATTAGTTTATATATGATTTGAAAGTGTAATAATCCTTTTAATCCATAGACATAACATGTTGTGTCTTTTAAAATGCCTTAAATTATATACTCCAAGACAGCTAATTCCCTTTTTAATTATTTACAAGTAAAATGATGCATTGGTGATATGTTTCATGATTTGTTTAATGAATATAAGCCACCGATGCAAAAAAACTTGAAGGTAATGATTTTCTTCGAATATTATTGGGAATCGCATGAAAAAACAGAAATAAAACAATAACTTCCAATTAAGAAATTGTGGGTTCTAAATAAATTGATTTCAAAGCTTGCACAAATTTTACCAAAAATCTTTTTACATGATAATAGATAGTTCCAGAGTGTTGGTGGAGTTAAACAAGTGTGGGTAATACTATGAAGCAAGACACAGGTATTCACCATTACTATAATCGGAAGGAGAATCAATTGAAGCTAGAGATGGCCAACTCATAGGGTTCATGATGCAGCTTTCCTGGAACTGAACCGGAGGCTTCCCCGTACTGCTTTATATAGTTTACTATTAATTTTATAGTTACTGCTTTAGTATTTGCTTAAGGTTCAATTAGTATCCTTATAATTTATTAAGTACTTCTATGAAAGGGATGTGGTCCCCCTTTCTAGTTTGTTACAGAAAATGTCCCCCCGTTTTTGCTATAGAAGAGTGGACAGGTATGTGGTAGGACATTATGCCAATATTGCTTTTCTGATTTACAGAATCCTTCCAGTTTTCTCTCTTATTCTTGTTGTTCTTGCTTGTTCTATTTTTGCTCCATCAGGTTCTCCACCAGGTTGGAATTAGAGCCCAGTATGGCAGACGGCGGTAGAACCTCGGTGGTCGATAGTGATCGAAGCTGGGATGATTTGAGGGAGTTAGAGTCACGCCTCGAGTGAAGGGTGGATCGACTTGCCGCTGAATGTAACTCTTTGTTGCTGAGATTTGGTAAGAGCTGGAACTTCTTTACAATGGAGGATCAACAATGCTGGAAACCATACCAGCGGTCATGGCACCCACACCAATGATTGATGAGAAAGGCATTGCGAATCACGGCCAAAGGGCCACACCAACACACAGCCAACCTTTGAGTCTGGATCAAGGTCATGTCAATGGAGGAAGGGGACACCAACAGCGGGATCGGATGACAACGAGCTGCTTGAAGAAGTTCCAAACAGCATCCGACCGAGTAGGGGTCGATTTTACAATGATTGTAAGGTGAAGTCGGATATTCCTTACTTCGACGGCCACCTTCATATTGCAAATTACTTGGATTGGGAATAGGTCGTGGAAGCTTTCTTTGAATACATTGATGTGGATTCAAAAAAAT